CCCCCCGTCGACACGGCGGCGACCACCCCCGCCCCAGGCAGCGTCGTCGTCGTCAGCCATAGTTTTAAGCGCCTTCTATCTCTTGCTGAGGAAGTAGCAAATCAAAAGTGCACAGCAAACTCAGAGACGTCCCTCCTCCTTTCCTCTCTTACTTTACAGGGACTTTATTGTTTACCCGGGATGACGCTTTAATGTGCCGACCTTGCCGAAGGCGCTCCGGCTTTTCTCTATTTCCCCTCTCCCCTATTTTTCCTCTCTGTGCTGGCACCTTTACGTTCGAGGTGTCCGACTCCGTGTTGCTTTCCGAGTCTTCCCTTCCAGACCAGTGAACGCCCAGCAGAGGCTGGAGCCGAGGCTGCTAGTCCGTCTTCCAGCTTTTCATTCGTACCGAACTTCCCCGGCGGCGCTCGCGCTCTCTGACGCGAGTTTATCGGGCGAAAAAAAAATAAGTACACCGTGCACCCGTTCCGTAATCCCTGGATCTCTTCCGAACCGAATCCTTGGCGATGGTCGCCGCGCTCTAGCCAAGGGACTTAGGGGGAGCGCTATTGGAGCGCGCCGCCCCTCATCGAAATCTTCCTTTGCATGTTACTATCCTTGTTGTTGCTCGCCATTTACACGCTGGTCCCTGGAGCAGGTAGCGAGCAACGGAGCGGGGGGCCGCGGGCCGCGCAGGCCGCGCCGGGGGTCGGGTGTTTGGGGCTATTCCCTCTCGCCCGCTCGCCCGCTCTCGCCGCACGCTGAGCTCCTCTCCGGTCCGGCCGGCGGGGTGGCGGCGGGCGGCCGCTGTCGCTCCAAGCCCAAGGTCGACGTGACGGGACGACCCTCCCCGCCCCCGCCAGCCAGTCCAAGGCTGCAGCTCGTTGTGGAAGGACGCCGCCCGAAGGACTACCTAGCAGTGCTCAGCCCCGACAGTGACGCCCTCCGCCCTCCTTTCGCACTTTGCAGTGCTTTCCGCGAGCCAAGAAGGCCGCACAGCTCCGTCCGGGACTCGTCGCCACTGAGGACATCAGGGCCGCCGCCATGGAGTGCGACATCTGCATGGAGGACTACGACCAGGGGGAGCACGTCCCGAAGATGGTGCCGTGCGGCCACACCGTGTGCCTCAAGTGCCTCCAGAAGAGCGACAAGAGGGAGTGCCCGACCTGCCGCAGGGTGAGTTGTCAGTCGATGTAGTTCCAGGCCGAAAAAAACAGGCCCGTGATTGGTGACACAAAACATTTTATGTGAATCATGACTGACTTTGACACAAGGGGCCGCCTCGTCTCTATCACAATAGCAAAAGCAAACATATGGCGGTGTCGTGCAGAATCTTTGTATTCTATCAATGCATATACAAAAATTTGTGTAGAACGCTCAGTTGTAAGTCCTCGCAGAATATAGATAGTGATCACAACTGTATTTCAAAGCATGTACACGCTTCAGTTTAGTGAAACAGCTTTAAGAGTACCTGAGAGTTCCGTAAATGTTTGTCTTGTGAAACAAGGCTTGCCACACTGTTATTTGAGGATTCCAATACGTTGCAGTTATTAGTGTTGTACAATCAGTGCCTCACAATCAGTAAATGTTGAGCACTAAGTGCCTGTCGGTAGACTCTAGGATACAGAGGGTCCCGCAGTTAATTTCTCAGGAGCATACATTGTTTCGTGAGGGTGGAAGTTGTTTTGAGGGGTCTGTAGGCTCTCTATTCAGCCATTGATTCCTGCACTGTTTGAAACGTTTTCACAGATTTTGACAGTTATGTAAATTATTTCCAGGCGTTTAAACCTGCTCCCAAGGCGCTTCCAAACAACTATAATCTTCTCCGGCTGATGTGTCAATGCGATAATAAGTGAGTGAATAGAAAACAATCTTCAGTTTCTTTGTGAAATAGACTCGCTTGCTGAAGTCAGTTTTGACAGTGCAACACTTTTTATTTTTAACAAATTCATATTCTAACCGTAGAGCATGGGCCAGTTGTTCAATATTTAATTGAGAGCTTGACGGACGCTTTACTTGTCCTTTCGCAGCCTTACCCCCGTAATGATGTGGTGCTCGGAGTGCGGCGCGGCCGCCACGATCGAGTGCAAGCACGGCGAGCACGACATTCTCCCCGTCACCAAGGCCCTGAGGCGCCACCTCCAGGGCGTGCTGCCGAGGGCCTCGGACCAGCTCGAGGACCTGCCGGACAAGTGCACGTCGGAGCAGGCCGTGCAGGCCATGACCATGCTGGCCGGCAAGTCCTGGGAGGTGACGCTCAAGGGCGACAAGTGCTCGCTCAAGGGAATGGTGTGGAACCGCGACAAGGACCCGCTCATCGAGGCCGTCTGGCTCGCGCTGTCGACCAAAGCCGTCTTCGCCGGGGTGCCCAACGTGGAGTGGATGCGGGAGCTCGACGTCAACGACCTCTGTCTGCACAAGCCCAACGAGAAGCCCGTGGAGAAGGCGACTGCCCTGCGGGAAGCGCAAGGCGTAAGTGATTCTTCTTACATTCAATGCTCAGACAGCGATTGGCGTCGTTCCAGACTTTTGAACACTCTTCTTTTTGTTGCAGATATTCAGGATTAGCGGCCTGAAGTGCGACGACGACCCCGCCTGGAGCCTCAAGCTGCTGCAGGTCGCCGCGCCCACGCTGCAGGAGCTGCAGGTTTGTGTCCGATTCCAGGCCCACCTGCAGGTGATCCACTCCATGCCGCTGCTCAAGCGGATGTTCATGATGAGCGACATGAGCCGTGAGCCCGCCCTGGCCTCCCCCCAGTTCTCTCTGCCGCCGCTGCCTCCGGGCCACGGCGGCGGCCTGCAATGGCTCACCGTCATGACCCCCAGCAGCTGGGTGCTGCGGGCGATGCTGCTGGCCAACGCGGGCTCGCTGGAGGTGCTGCAGCTCACAGTGGGCACGCCGGGCAAGCTCCCGTGGCCCTTGTCCTGCAGCGACCTGCCCGCCGTGCTGGGCGGCTGCGGCCTCCGCGTGCTCAAGACCGTCGTGCTGGGCAGGGACATGCAGGGCCTGATCAGCCACGCGCCCGCCGCCTGCAAGAAGCAGTGCAACGCCGTGCGGCGCGCGCTGCCCGTGACCGTGGAGGTGTTCTGCGACCTGTGCGACGGCGTGGAGTACGACTGCTTCCACGAGGAGAAAAAGCCTAACCCGGAGCTGATGGTGGGCAAGATCTGGAAGGAAGAGCTGTACAATTAGCCTATGTATTTTAAACAAACGATGTAATCTTCTTTTAGAGCAATCGACTACTACTTTGAGTCAAGTATCGCTAAAACATTATAATGTTGAATGAATTCAGGAAAGGAAATAATCAGTGATTTTTTTAAACGTATGGGTGCGTGTACTAAAATTTCCCACATTTCCCCTTTTCCTTTCAGGAAGCTGTGGTGAGTGGCCCTTTGATACGAGGCGCTACAAAAGAAGTGTCACCAGGACGTGAGGCGCAAAGCGCGGGGCGGGGCAGGGGCGGACGCGGGTGGGTGGTAGGCGGGCGGGCGGGCTTTCTCGAAACTGCAGACGGCTTGCTGAACATATTTCCAGCATTTCCCATCTCTTCTCCCGCACTCCCGCCGCACTGCCACACTTTTACAGGCTTTTCATAAGCGTGTTTTATGGCACCATTCTTACCCCGGCCGGCGCCATGCGTCTTACAGGGTCGAAGAGCAAGGGGTTGGGTGGGGGCGGAGCGGGGCAGGGCCAAGGGCATGGAATGAAAAAGCACGGAGCCCGAGCTACTTATTCACGAAACCAGTGGACCAACCAGTGTGAGCGGGAAACGGACCTCACATTATCACGCGTATTTTTTGTTGTTGCAGATTTTTGCATAGTACCTCATATCGCCACATCAATATCAAGTATTATTGTTTGTCCTGGATAAATAAAGTACGTCCAGTTTTCTCTTTCCGGATCCTTTTCCCCGCGGTCGAAAGTGATTCCTCACCACCACCTTTCAAACCGCGCGCGCTCGCAGTCGATGCAGCTAGTTACAAACTGTTGGGGTGTGACCCGCAGCGCACTTGGCTTCGAGGCCGCCGATGAGCGCGACAAGCTTGCTTGCTCTCCCTCACCTCAGCCCGGCTTGGGGATGCAAACTCCACTCTGCGTGATTGGCTGAGCGGTGCCGGTGTAACAAGCACGCTCTCCCCGCCGCCACGCCACGCCACGCCACTCGGAACAGGTATGCGTCCCTCGAGTCTCTCTGCGCGCCCTGCTCTCCGCCGTACCGCCCTCTGCTCGAGCGTGGAGAGCTGATGATCAAGGCGCATGCCGTGCTCAATATGCGTCCCCCATGTGTACCGCCTCGCCTCCTCGCCATCACGCCGGGATTGGACGGGGGGGGGTAGTTATGCCCCCCGCCACCCCCAGCACCGCCCCGCCGGCCGCAGGTCGCGTCCCCACACTCGCGCGCCTTGCCCCGGGCCGCTCCTCGGGCGCGCGTGCCGGATGGGTTGCCTACCCCCAAGGCGCCTCGGCCTCCCCTACTTGGTCCAAGTATCAGAGGACGCACTTTGCTGGTAGGCAAAATGAGTGCCGCCGTGATATGAGTGGGCGGTATCGTGATCGTGTTGTGAGGGTTCTCGTGCCAGACCCCGGATCATAGACCAAGAAGTGGGAGATCAGCCCCGTCGACATGCGTCGAGGTGGCCGGCGGGTGTGCCTCTCCTTGCTGACTAGGCCGCTTACCCGAGCAAGTGTAGGCAACCCGTGCGTGAGCGTGGATGCGGTGGTAGTCTAACTTTGGAAGTGGTAGTGCGCGGAGAGAATCAGCCTATAGTACTCCCGACACAAGAAAGAGTCTAGCAAGTTCTGGAAGTGTTTGTACACTACTTATCTATACCTCATCATACTTGCAGGTCAGCCACGGGTTTGCACAGGGTTACCTCAAGCTTATACGCACTTGAATGACAAACTTGCCGTGATAAGGTCCGGTCGACCAGGGACCGCCTCGCCCCTGACCTACCCCCACCCCCACCCCCATCGCGCCAGCCAACCCGACCTGCGGGAGTGCTCCGTGGTGTGCAAACCTGGGCTACCTTCTTACGCGAGTCCAGGCGTTGTTGTTGAGCTAACGGCCGGTGTGTACAAGGGTCAGCCTGGGCCCTTGCGAGCTTGGAGGTGGAAGCCGTTCCACGGCCCTGGCCCCGCTCTGCACGGCCATGGCCCAGGGCAAAACAGCGCGGCATTCGCACTGCACACAACATCCCCAACTCGACTCCAGCAGCACTTACGCGCCACAGCGCGGCAAAGGAACAGGGTAAACATTTGGCAAAACTATTGCTATGATATACAGCGTGCAACTACACTGCAATCGTGGGTCAAGGGACCTTGTTTACTGCAAGCTCGATTTTAAGCACCATAATTTTGTTCGAGCATCAAATGATTGTGTTGAGTGTCCTGGGCGAGGGTTGTAACCACTTACAGTCATTGTTCCTAAATTCGGACTTGCGCCCTAAATTCGGACATTTTGCCGTATTTCACTATTGTCGCCTCCAAATCCATTATGCGTTGACAAAATTTAACTTCTATGGGTTTGATGGGAAGGTAAGACCACCAAGTTTCCATTTCTGCCAAAAAAATAAATGTGTGAGTAAAATTGCTTCCTCCAGAAATTCCTGAAATTTGTATTTTTAGCCCCCAAAAACAGGCGTTTTTAAATGTGTCTTGCAAGAATTTGGGGCTCCGAACAGTGTAAGCCCGGGTTATTCTGACCACAACGTATGTGAAACTTGGTTCTTTTATCTACAATATGACACCAAGTTTTTGATTTTTCGTCGCACGGTTTAGTTTTGGGAAGCGTTTTTGCAATGCGCCCTAAATTCGGACATAGGCTTTTACATGCAAAAGGGGCAACTGTCCGAATTTAGGGCACATTAAAAGCGATCTTTAAGCAGTTCTGGCGACTAGACTATACCAGATACGAAAATTTGGACGGTAGGGTAAGGTCAAATTTTTTCATGAAGTTTCTACACCCCCCCAAAAAATTTCACTTTTCATAATTTTTCAAAGCTGTCCGAATTTAGGACGCATTGGTTCCTAAATACGGACACGATTCAAACAGCCCTCACCCCTATACCGTTAGCGCGAAAAAATATTTTCGGAGAGTGGTAGGTGCGTCTCGACGTAAGGATTCTAGAATCCCCAGCGATTTTTCATATTTCAAAAATTCTAAATATCACAGGCGTTTTTCCTCAAAAACCGTCCGAATTTAGGGACAATGACTGTACTTGGATATTCCATGTACACACTGGAAAACACGCCAAAAATATTGCAGATATTCCAAATGTATTCCAAATATTCCACCAAAACGTTTCCAGATATTCCAAAAAATGTCCAGATATTCCAGGTACTATTCCACAAATATTTCACATATTCCATGCACACCCAAAAATCTGAGTGTCGACCCCTCGGTCCTGGGGGAAATCGGAAATAATGAGAGAGGGAGGGTGTTCGGGTAGCTGCCGAGTCCCGTCCCGTTCTGCCCGTTCCCTCGCACGTCTCAACAGTGATCAATAATTAGCCGACCCCCGGACCTCTCCTTCTGGTACTCTTCCCGTACCGCTTCGTTCTTCATCTCTCGGGCGCCTTTTTCTCTTGTGCGCGCTGCTCACAGGATTGATGGTGTGTTGACTCGATCGAAACTGTAGTGTACTCGCAGACACGCGGAAGAAGGGGCGGGCAAGACGTGGGTGGCGGAGGGTGGTGGAGATGTGTAGTGTGGTGGTGGTGGGGGGCAGGAGGTGGGCCCAACATAAATCATGGTGTGGCCTGCTGCTTCTGTATGAATGGGAGAGGGAAGTTGTCTCTTTATTTACCGACGGTAAGCGTCATAACGCCCTCTGCCTCCCGCCCCCTTCTCTCTCTCTCTCTCTCTCTCTCTCTCTCTCTCTCTCTCTCTGTCCCTCCATCTCTCTCTCCCTCCCCCCTCTCTTTTTCCCACCTCTCTTCCCTCTCTTTCGCTCCGGTATCAATAAGGCTTATTATTGATTATTAGCAATTAATTACCTATAGGACAACCATCTGTCTTTTTCTTTCTTTTTTTTTTTTGCTGAGAGCAGCCAGCTAGCTGACGACATATGTGAAAAGTTTGCCGGGCAGTGGACTGTCGCGGCCTCGCCTCGGCCCTGGGCACTCAGAGCGCATCACCGGTACCCGCCGGTACCCGCCGTGCGGGGGGAGGTGCGGAGGACGCACTCGGGTGCCGTGCTCGTGGGTGGTCATACTCTGGTCAGACGGACTCGGACTTTGAGGTGGAGCCCCATTCAATTGACTCCCTTGCCCCGCTCCCCGCTTTTCTCTCTCCCTCCCCCATAATGGGGTATTACGGGGGCCCGCACACATAACAAATCAGTACCGCTCTTGTGTCACTTCCTCCCACTGCACGGCAGGGTGCCCATTTCATTGACTTCTGCTGTTTATTTCTTGTACGAGTGCTCCCCCCCTTTTCCTGACCTTTCAATTTGATTTCTTGTTGGTCGATCGTAAAACGACGTACAGTTTACCAATCTCTTGTTTTCTTCTTGTTTTCTACGTGTTCCCTTGCGATATCCCACCCAGCTGCTGGTGATTACCAGGGTAATTACTACTTATTCTCGACTCCGCGTGATAGCATCGATAGTGCCCGTCGGTAGATCACTCCTTTTCTTCTTAGACCTCGTTTATTTGTTCGTTTTGAGGTTGGAGTTCATCTGATTCGTTCGATCACGGCAATCCTACCGCGTTTTTATTTGTTTTGTTAAATTAAACGAAAGGGCATTAAAGTCTCATTGTACTTGCCTGTGGGGGGTCCATCTTATGTCCACTACTCGTTTGCCTCATTGCCTTGCGGTTTTTAAAACGAGCCGAATGACACAATCAGAGGGACAACCACGAACCACGTCCAGGCAAACATGACGACGTATTTGCGGCCAGCAGCACTGAGCAGAGCCGTCCTACAAAATATTCACTCACAACAGAGCAAGTCCTTGGTCCTTGAAACACGATTCATCTTTTAATTTAATCATACTTAAGGCGGTCAGAGATGTCGATGTCAAATGCTGCAAGTTATTTCGATCATTTTCTTCGCGAGTACCAAATTTTAGCAAGTCTCTGAGAGAAATGTGAAGAAATAGCAGTGATAGCAGAGAAAATTAGGAACCTCCCTACCTCGCAATGCCCGTAAAAGAAATTCATAACTTCCGAAATGGCGCCGTCCCTGCACATAATGACGGATTCCTGGCAGGTGTTGTGCGAATAAGGTGTTCGCACTCGCAGCAGTCAGTGCCGCGCTCGGCGCCATAAATATGCATGCTGGCCAGGCCTCGCTCCCCGGGGGCCTGTTGGGGCCAAAGCCGA